CTCACTATCAGATGCGACCCTTGCTACCGCCGGTTCGGGTGGTGAAGGCGTCTGCACTAAATATGTTAGATACTTATTTCAAGTATGAGTTTTGAAGTGTTAAAAATCGGGTGTTAAGGAAACTTACCGGGTCTCTTGGCGGTGCTGGCAAGGATTGCCTCCTGGTCAGGGCCTTTTCCCGACCACTCATCGGCTGAAAGGGAAGGGATTGCCTCCTAGTCGGGTCCCCCTCCCGACTGATCATCGACAAAGCAAGTAGTGGTGCGTGTGTTCGGATGGGAAGAGCCTGCGATGGAATGACATAGGTCAGTACGTGAGGTATTAAAGTATGAAAATAGAAAAGAAAGTAATAGACATGAGTTGGTTACTTGGGGCTGGTCGGCTGGCAAACTTGTGGTTCAGCCGGGGCTGGAGTTGGTTGGATGGTCGGTGCTGCCAAGGTCGGGCCTGATAGTAAGCGTGATGTAAGTTAGAAAGTTAAGGAAATATCATAATAAGTCAGGACTTTTGGAACGTACCTAAGCAGGGCCGGGTCCTTACTGGCATCCAAACTAATAGAAAGTCCGTCGGGGCCTGCTGGTCTGTTCAAGAGGTCGGGACTGTTTGGATTTAAGGAGCTTTCCTCTTCCTTTTTGGGGCGCTTGACCCGGCCCCTGGGGCGGCTATTTTTTTTTCAGGCGCTGATTTTTCGAGCCGCCCCTAACACCAAGGCCTGCTGGGGCAGGAGAATGCCCAGCAACCGATCCTTTTCAGGGGCAATTAGGGACCAAGTAACCGACCACCATTCGCGGAAGGTTTCAACGATTTCGGGAGAAGAGTGGAAACGAATGTAAGAATTGGAAGTTATGTAGGTGGTAAGTTGGGAAACATAAGGAGAAATTAATTCAGGGATGACCCGCCCATCCGGACTCTGAGGTATTAGGTGGGGACGGGCGATGGGGCCAGGTAAGCCTTGGCGGCAACCGAATTGGCGTGCCAAAAATTGAGGCTGATAACTAAAAGTATAAAATGATTTTTGGCCTTTTTTATCAAATTTTTTACTAACAAATAAAGACCTGGGTTTAAGGGCAGAATCCCAGGGGAAAGAATAGGTTGGATAAGGAAGAGGGTCAAGTTCGGCCATGGGTGAAGACACAGGAAAAGGCCAAAAAAGATCAGACGCGTAACCAGCATACTTTCTATATACGTAAAATCGGGAACTGCTGTGGTCATCGGCTAGAATACCGGTTATGATGGGGTCGGATGATTGGAGGTTGTTATGGTCTAGGCAGAGTCGGTTAAGGGCTAGTCCCAGAGATTTGTTGGGTGTTGGGGAAATCGGAGGACGGCAGAGTTGAAAAGCGTCAGGAAAATAAAGACGGAACCAAAGTTCCAAGAACCAAAAGGGCCCGACGCGGCGGTATCTAATTTTTTACTATCACTATCTACAAGACGGGTACTAACCCTATAAATACCTTCAAAAATATTGGCTAAGAAGAGAGTGCCAAGAGAGAAAAAACGACCTGAAGCTATGTGGACAGCCAGGTCAAGATGGGAAGAAAGAACGCATTTGGAGGGAGAGATGATAACGTACATACAAAACCAGAAAATAAGAAAAACGACATGTTCGCGGTCGGTGACAGGGGTCTCTGCTGCCTCTTGCTGGTCGGTCGCAAACTTGGTCCAGCTCCACTCCTTCACGCCAGCTAAGGACCATCCCAAGTGGTCCACCTCTGGCTTCTGTCCATCCAGAACTCCCATCACAGGGTCTTCACCCACGACGGGGAGATGGGCGATCATGGCCACATCCATAAGAGTTGGCCCAATGGGGCCCGTCGGCAGGAAAAAGACACCCATCTCCGAGTGCCAGAAAGCCGCCATTGCCAGAAGCACCTTCTCGTGCAAGTGGAATGGCAAGGTGGAAAGGAGTACCGCCTGGTCAATTTTTTGGCGTTTCCATTGCTCTTGGAAACGTTCCGCAACCCTGTTGTACCAAGTACGATATGGGTCCTTGGGGTCTGTTAGATGTGTTTTGATACTATCATGAATTCTGATAGCATTGTAGTTGGGATTGTTGACGGCAAGAGGGTTTCCAGCTTCAAGCACCTCCCTCATTCGATTGGAGTCTTCTGAAGTGGTACAGTATGGGCGGATGGTGGGAATCAGTACCTTTGTGGCAACAAAAGACACCTCTGGGAATGTGACGTCGAAGGGGAGCGCAGGCACATATTTATTCGCCATGGAATACGAGCTTCAGAAAATAGAGAAAACCAACGAAGAAGATGAGAGGTTTTTGGAAAGTATTTTGCGATAATGGATGCGTGAAAATGAGCGAAGCTGAGGGATAGGTTTTAAAAGAGATACGGGGTAATGATTTCAAAATGGGGTATTTAAAACCCCATTGATGTGATGGCAGAACAGAGTCAGACCGACACTGTTACATAGGTTGCAGACTTCCAAACGTCCCATCATGCGGCGATCGAGGAGTGACGTTTGAAAGTCCGATGGCGGCGGAACAAGTTGTTACGTACGAAATTTATAATTAGGTTAAATGGCCCAAAATAAGATGAGATGTGGGCCCGTCTCTGGGCCCATCAGCTGGGTAAGGGGTTTTTCGAGGCAGTCGGCCGACCTGCAGTCTGTCTAAAGTATGCTGGGCGGTTGGGTAGTTGTCCGGGGGCAGCCGTCCATTTAAGGTGGTAAGGTGCCCAGAGGCGGTCGGTCGAGCCAGTCGGATTCTGCAACTGGTGGGAGCGGTTGGGGAAAACAGTTAAAACACGTATCAATGGAGGAGGAATGAGTAGGCGGTTGATGGCGGTTGCTGTAACTGAACATGCCACGGTTCCAAAACGTTTCTTTAGGGGATATTTAAATATTTGGGTCTGTTCAGGGAAAGGATCTTCAAATTCTCAGAAAAAGTCAAATTAATTGTAAATTTCTTTTTGGGATCACCTTTTATTTTCATGTATTCAACTGCTTTATGCTACAAATAAATTATTCATTCAAGTTCGATAGTATTTTTGAATTTTAGTTTATTTTGTTAAAAAAATTGATCAACAATTATATATTAAAAAAAGTCACACCAAATATACAAAATTCAAAATTAAACTGCAATAATAACAAACAACAAATAATAATTATCATAGCCAAAGCTCAAAACTTAAAAATCACAAGTAATAATAATAAATTAATTAATTAAAAATACAAAATATATAAAAAAAAATTCCAACTTCAAAGACCAATATACAAATAAAAATATTTTCTCGGAAAATATTTGAGGCATGCTACACTGTAAGCTTTATAAGGGGTATATTCAATTCAAATTTTCAAAAGTTTTTTAAAATTTTGGTGTATAAAAATTCATCGATTTTGTTGGATTCTTTAATAAAATTATTAACTAATTACATTGTATAGAATCTATTGTTATGAGATTTCAATGAATTCTCAAAATTAGTAAAAAAATACATACTCCCTCTGTCCGCCACAGATGACCCTATTTTCTTTTTGGTACGTCTCACAAAAGATGACCTCTTTTGATAAGTTTATCAATCTTAAACATACTTAACAAATATAATTTAATTAAACTTCTAACATAGACCCACTCAAAACTTTTTATTTCTATTTCTCTCTTCAATTAACAAATATGTTTATCTACCTTTAAAATTTTTCATTTTTTATAAAACTAATTTATGGTAATAATAGATAAATAAATGTATATTTTTATTCATTTGTATTATGAAATTTTATTGTCTACAAAATAATATCTATATTACATATATTTTATTGAGATATAATTTTAAAAATATTTAAAATACAAACAACACTACACATATAAAAAATAATAAAATATTATCATAACTTATTATTAATAACTTAATAACCTACGCTACCTAAAATACAGTGTCCCTAACAAAAGGGATCATTTTTCACAGGACGGAGTGGGTATTATTTTATTTATAACATTAATAACTAGTTATTATTTATATGTATTTATTATTTTATTATAATAATATCAATAAGATAAGATACGAAAATTTAAATGTTTAATATAAAAATTACAAATATTTTAAGTATTATATTTGAAATAATATTAAAAATTATATATATTTAAGATAACAAATAAATTTGTTCAAATAGTTCGAATCAAAATTATTAATTTTTATTTTTAGAAATATCAAATCAAATTAAATATTCCATAATTGTAATTTATATTTTTTTATTTCGATTTTAGTTCCGTCGGTTCGAAAATCACTGATTATATTTGATAATGTTAGTTTATTATTATTATTATTATTATTTTATTTTTAATTTTACTTAATAAAAATTGTAATTTTAATGTTATTTTATTTATAAATATATTTTATTGTATAAGAATTCGTATAAATAAGTAATAATAACAACAATTAAATAGATTGTTACAAAATAAAAATTAATTATATAATATAATAAATTCGATCAAAATAATAATATAACAAAAAATATAATTTTAAAATTATTATTATTATTATTAAAATAAAATAAAAAAGATAATAATAATAAATATATTTTTTGAGAACTAATTTACTTTTAATATTTTTGTTAAATATTTAAAAAAAAATTATATACAAGTATAATGCATATATTTGAAATTATATAAATGAATAAAAATATTATTTAATTCAAAAATCTATAAATTTTAATAAAGTGTAGAAAAATAAATAAATAATCCAATCAGATCTAGCAAAATTTATATAAATCAATAAACAAAATTCATTAAACTCTGCGTATATTCTGTAGAATTTATAAATCAACTCAAATGTACAAATTTTTTAAAATCCAAATAAATTTATTAAAATTCTAATTGAATACACCCTCTTAAATTTAGATGAAAATAACGTGATTAAAAAAAATGGATAATTTGTATCAAACATGTATTATTTATTATATTATACAAATATTTCATTTTATATTCGAAAGATAATATCAATGCATATTTATATCTGTTTCAATAAACACACACCAGTAATTCTCGATGTCTAGAGCCGGTTGGATTTGGTCTAATATGCTTGAATTTGGAGGTTCTGCCGCCAAGAACTTTGGTCCTTGTGAGGAGGATGTTTCGTCGCCTTGATACCGTTCCTGTGATTATTGCCATCGATTTGCTTTGTAGCAATCAGGATTTGATTAATTATCTGTTAATCCCTAAAACGTTCGCCTTCGGCATTTCCGCCATGGTTGTCGTGTTCGGCTTCACTGTCCTCCTGTCGCTTTCTTTTTCCTCGAGAAAAACTGGGATGAGATGCAGTCATGTAAGTTAGCTAATTTTCTCGGAAGCATTCTAAACTTTGAGAGAGCGCCACTGTGGTTTTGAGTGATACCGAACCAGGAATGTCGAGTCTGGTGCATAATTTAGGAGATGGATTTGATATGCAAATGATAGGGAATTTCCTGAGCTTTGCCTCGAGAGGCGATAGGGTTGGACTGAACGAGATGCTAAGGGAGGGGATGTCTCCCAACGTGCAGGACTATGACAACAGAACTGCACTTCATCTTGCTGCGAGCGAAGGCCATGCCTCCATTGTTGAGCTTCTACTCGCTTACAGTGCAGATGTTAACCTCAGGGATCGCTGGCAGAAAACTGTAAGTGGTAACAGGCTTGTGTTCTTCTTCCCGAAGTTCAACTTGATTAATGTTTACAGGTTATCATAATTAGTTACATTTTGTGTTGTACCAACAGCCATTAGCAGATGCAAAGCTATATCAGCATAGAGATATCTGCAGGATCCTTGAAGTCAATGGAGGCCGGGAACTTATTGAGGACCATGCCATGGTAATATAAAAAATTTGCTTGAATAATGTTACTATTTGTACTGTGTTCTGGGAAGCCTTTCCTACCATTGCAATATCCTAATGTTAATTGAAATTATATGTTTTAGTAGTTCTGTATTGTTCCATGGATTAGATAAAAACTCCTACTTCTCCTTCAACCTAATCAAATTAAATTACGAAAAGAAGTATATCCATGTTATGCTCTCTTTTCAATGGTAACTAGTTACCGTATCTGTGAATTTGTCCAACTGTTTAACTGATGTTATTTTCTTATACATTTATATGCAGCCACTGCGTCATGAAGATGAACCTCAGGAGAATATCGATATCTCTGAACTGATTGTGCAGCAGTCAACCAGAATTCAGCAGGTAATAGTATTAGATGTCATAGTTTGGCTTCAAGTTGCATCCAAATGACAAATATGTTTCAATTGGATTCAGTAGAGATTTTCTTTCCTGAATTCAGTATTGAGTCTAATGTCTTTAAGATCGATTGATTACATGATATAGAAATGCTGAAAAGATTGTGAAAATTTATAGGTGCTGCATAAGCTTGAGCGTCTCTTATCCAGTTATCTGAGCCATTGTGTCAATTTTTTAGACAGGAGCTGTAAGAACTCTGAGAATTGTATTTTTCAAATATCGAAATTTCAGGGCCTATTTGGTGGATCTGAAAAGGTCAAGTGGCGTGGAACTTGGGTGGTCAAAACAATCATCTCTCAACACATCTATCATCCTGAGAAAATGTTGGTTTACTGGACTCATAATTCATTCGGTCCTGCTGCTTTGCATACTTAACTTTGTTGAATAAGAGGAAAAATTGTTATAGGGTGTTGACAGCCAAAGATAATACTCTTCTGAAGGAACTTCGGCATCCAAATATTTTGCAGTTTCTTGGGTCAATAGTGCATGGCAAAGAAATGATTTTGATTACAGAATATTTGCCAAAGGTAACATGCCAATCATCAAATGAATCTATCCCTCCAATTTCCCAATCAGGTACACAAATGGTTACCAGAGCTTTTGCCTTATTATTCTAATTTGTATCAGGGAAACTTGGACGATATTTTGGCAAAAAAGGGCCGGCTGGAACCTTTAACATGTCTACGTTATGCGCTTGATATTGCCAGGTAGCATGTTTTGCCTCCTAATCTATATCTACTCATGGTTAATACAGTTCTGACCTTGTATATTCTGAACGTAGATTATACATCAATTTCTCGACATTCTTTATCGATTATACATCAATTTCTCGACATTCTGTATTAATTATACATCAATTTCTCGATATTCTGTATGGATTAAGCTTCTTTCAAGCAATGCTTCTGTTGATCCTTAAGTATACAATTCATATTAATGCATATAGTAATTTCCAGGGGAATGAATTATCTTCACAAGCACAAGCCTAGGCCAATCGTTCACAATAACTTGACTCTCCGGTAATCCTTTTGTTTTTGCAAAGGACTCCATTTCTGCTTTACCTCAAGCAATATTTCACAGAGTAGTTGAACAACTTGATCAGTTCTGTTAGTAAACTCGCATGAATTTTGGACCATTTTGTACAGACAACGAACTTCTGTATATGTTAAAAAAAATGCAAGACATCAAGTCATTTGACCTGTTTCTGAATTAATTTAGCTTAACCTGGTTTTCCTCTGTTTCAGGAACTTGCTTCTCGATGAAGGAGACCGCCTGAAAATTGGGGAATACTGGGTTCAAATGTTGTACGTGCATATACAACCGAATCAAGATAAGAGTATGCAGAAACAAGCCATTGATTCAATCATTTGCATTCAATTGCCTTTAGATAATTGTACCATTATGAATCTTGTCTCCCATGCAGGCCAGTCAAGTGATGAATCCAGCAACCCCGAAACTTCGTATGACACCAAGAAAGACATTCGTGCTTTTGGCCTTATATTTTATCAGGCATATACTCACCAATCTACCTGAACCTATACTGCCTTTTGAATGTTTTTAATCCATACTTATTTGTATTTTCATTAACTTGTATGTTTTCCATGGTAGATGCTGGAGGGCAAGTATACCTCCAACATGGACTCTAACTACTTACATCTCAAGTCAATCGAGTTTGAGAAAAAGTTTAATGTTAGCCGGTGTCCGGGGAGAATCCTCGAGTAAGTTTGTACCATTGCTGCTATAATCTATGCAATGTATGTCTGTATGCATATTATATGTATATAATTCTTATGTTATTATTTGCTAAGGTTGATAGAGCAGTGTACTGGCAAAGACAATAGCAGAAGGCCAGAATTTGATCGAGTGATAATTATTCTGGAGGAAGTCATGCACCAGCTAAAGAAAGATGGATGTCCTGTTTGTTGATTCATCGTGTTTGCGGCAATTCGGTTAGTTACTTATTTATTTATTTAACTACTACGTTAATTGCAGAATAAATCTTGATTTCTATTAGATACCAAAGAAACATGTTATGGAAAAATCAATAGTAACTTCAAGACATATACAACATAAATTCATTAGTTGAATGCAACCATTATTGTGTTGTAATTTGATTGACATTGTCATCAAAATTACTACTATAGTGGGTGCATAATTGCATGTATCTGTGTGTGATGTGTGATCATAATAAAGGAGAATGAGTATATATATATATATATATATGTAGGCGGTGAGGGGCAGAAATCCCATGAAAATATTCAAGTATAGATATATAGAGAGAGGGACACGAAAATTGTTTTGACACAAAAAGTTGGGCACTGCCAAATATTGTTGAATGATATATGGTGGGGTGGGGTGGGTAGCACAATGACATGTGGTGACCACCAAATGAAGTGTAAGAGTAAAGGGATGCTGCCTATTATTTAGTATTGAGTATTTGAGTATTGAACCAAACTTCTTCACCAGACAGACATGTCTTTTTATTTACATCTGGTTGTGTCTTTTCTCTGTGTTTGTTGGTTAGTGTCAGTTTAGCAGATTTAATCAGATTTGTCCACGTTTCATGTCACATGTGTCAGCTGCTACATTTTAATATATATATATAATATATATAGGGGGCGGTCACAGTACTGAATTTAATACATTACGTGAACAAATAAGACATATAGTCTCAACAGCACATCGTATGCTGTCTGACAGTACACAATATTATTACAGACAACACATTGTATATGTTAATGTAATACAAATACATCACATGAACTAACAACACATGTTATAGTTTCATACAGCACACACAACAGTTATCATTAAAAAAAACAACACATACCGTTATTATACACGACATGTGTTGTATGTAATAATATTGTGTGTTGTTTGTACATATGAACTGTACTGAGTTGAAAAATCAGTACCCTAACCATCCACATATATATATATATGTATGTATGTATGCACATTTCATTTTTCAGATGAAGAATCCAAGCCCTGTAATTGATTGATTTAATCAATTAAGGAATCATATCTTGATCATGAAAGATCATAGTAAGATTATTATCCATTGAACTTGGGCTCTTTCTCACTATTTCTTGATTTGAATTGAATTAGTAGCAAAGCTTATTGCCTGGTTTATTATAATATCAAATATTATTAATGGGGTTTTGTTGGTTTCTTTGCTTTAAAATGTTAGTTTAATTTGGCTGTTGGGGGTGTGACAAAATGTAAGACTAATAAGAATCTCCTTCTGTGTGTTTGATATATATATTGATACACTCTTGTCCTAATTTAACAAATGCATTAGGACAAGAGTGTATCTATATATATATATATATATATATTATACATGTAGTCTAATTAGTAATGGAGTTTGACATTTTGAAAATAACATAAGTCAAACAATTTATTTTGTACATTGACATATATATATAAATACCATTCTTGAGCACACTAAAGACATTGCACTTAAAGAGTCAATTAAAAAAAAAAAAGAAAAAAAAAGAGCATATACATATCAAATAATGATTATAGAGTTTATAAAATATCAAATAATTATAAAATATGCTTTGCATGTCAACCACTTTAAAGAGTTGATTAAGATACAAGACAATAAAATTAACTATTTTTGTACAAATTTAAGAAAGAATATTTGATTAATTTAGTTGGATCAATTCAATCTTTTGGTTGTAATACCAAACTGCAATGGAATAATATCTTCAACAAACAATACTTTTACTAATAATGAAACCTCAACTACAAGAAGAAAAAAAAAAAAAAAAAAAAATTTTATTCAAAGTAAACCTACCGTTGTGTCATAATATAGTATTAGTTTTAATGAAAATTGAAAACCTGAAAAGGTAAATTAAATTAAATTAAATTAAAGTATGTGAGAATCCCACTTTAATTTGTAATTTAAATTGGGAAGAGAAAAAAAAAAGGTAAAATTTGGCAAAGCTATAAAGGTTAAACAATACCTACCATATATAGTTCTCTTTTACCAAACTACAGCCAGCAAGAAATAAATAACCAAAGACAATTTTAGAAATCAATGTCTCTCTTAATTTTAATTTTTATTTTTTATTATGCAGAACTAAAAATAAAATAAAATAATAACAACCCAAAAGGACACACAACAAAATTTTATGAATTGATCATTGCATTATAATATAGGTAATATATAATTGATTAATTATATCTTAAAATTCAAACTTCTCATCCTTTTTAGTGATGTGTCCAATAATTCAAATTTTTTATCACCAAACCACTCAAAGTTTTTTGTTCTTTTTTGGCCTCCTCCACCTATGAGCATTTGCCCCATTTTTATAATATTATTATTTTTTTAATAAAATAAAATATAGGGCAAATTATAAAAAAACTTCTTGTATTTTGATAAAAATGTATTTTTTTTTATGGCATGAAATTCCTTAAGTTAAATTAAAATTTCCACAAAACACTCTCTTCGTCTAGAGATAATTCTAATACTCCTTTCGTCCCAAATACCATGTCCACGTTGCCGTTTATGTCCGTCTCACGTACCATGTCACTTTCCTTTTTTGGAAAATGATTATACACTTTAATCTCATTTTAAATTTTTAAATTTTTTTTTTATTTTAATTAAACTAATTAGTTATCTTAATCTTAATTTATAATTATTTATATTATAGGATAATTATTTTTACTAATACATTCTTAATTATCTACTAATTACACTTCTCCTAAAATATCGTGTCTATAGTGTAGCAGACATGGTATTTGAGATGGAGGGAGTATCAGTTTTGGACGAATACGATGTTTTTTTGTGCAAATTTTAATTTAATATGAAAGATTTCACGCAATAAATAAAATACGATATCTTAAAGCATGTAAATATAACATTAAAATACTTAAATTATCTATACATTCACGATATTATTAACCTGGTTGCTTTTTACAAAAATTCAACAATTAATATTAATTGTCATTCAACAAAAATATTATTCTAACAAATTAATAATTCTCCATAATAAAATTACGATATAATAATTTTGTTGTATAATAATTTTTATTTTAAAGCAATTCTCTACATTGAAAATAGTCGCACGTCTGTTTTTTTTTTCTTGTTTTTTAATAATGTAAAAAATCGTAATAATTTTCGACCGTTAGACAACTTTTTATGGGTCGTATTAATATGTTATATAAAAATAAGTACTATAAGACTTGATCATATATATCACTATATATCACTACTAAATTTTCCAATTTTTTTCTTTAAAGAAAATTGGCGTCCAATGTTTATTTTCAATTTAAAAATGTACTAATTTTAGTTTCAAAATTTAAAAAAAAAAAAAAAAAAAAAAAAAAAAAAAAAACCCTTCAAATAAATAAATTCATAAATCCAATTAAATCCATTCTAAAGACACGATAGTCCAAAAACAATGAATATATCCTAACGATGAATTGAAAGGATGCCAAATTAATACTACATAAAATGAATACATGTGAAAAATAATACATAAAAAAACCTATTACTCCCTCTATCCGGTAAATATAGTTTTAATTGGGTTGAACACGAGATGTAAGAAATACTCATATTATATTGGTAGTTGATAAAAGTATGAATAAAAGATTTTTTTTTTCCTTGTGAGTGTATTAGTGTAAAAAGTAGTGGCAATTATGTAATAAAAATGAAAGAATAAGGATAATTTTACGGTGATATAGTTATTTATGAAAAAGAAACTATTATTTTTGGACCAACAAAAATGGTAAACAAGAATATTGTATTGGAATAGATAAAGTACTATTTTAGGATTTTACTAGCATTTTAATTATTTAACATTTTTCCAGATAGGGTTTTTTTTTTAAAAAAGAGTAATTTTTTTTTAATTTTTAGTTAGTACTCCCCCCGTCCCACCACACTTGACATTATTTCCATTTTTGTCTGTCCATAACAATTGATACCTTTCTATTTTTGGTAAAAATTATTAATTTAAAACATATTTAACAAATATAAATCAACTTAATTAATTACATAATATACAACATTATAAATGATGTAGGACCACTTAAAACCCATTTATTTCTACATCTCTCTTCAAAAAAATAAATATTTTTATCTATATCTAAAACTACACATCTTTTATAAAATTAATTTATGTTAATTATATATAAACAAAAATATTTTTTTTATTTACTTGTATTATAGAAAATTTTATTCTCTACGAAATGATATCCATATTGCATATATTTTTTAATTGTTATATAATTTTGAAATATTTAAACATATATTTAATTTTTTTAATCATATATATTAAATTTACTTTAAAAATATAAATATTATTAATTATAAAAAAAATTATATAATAATATAATAATTAATTATTATTAATTAATTAAACATCTTTGTCTTAAATACCGTGTTCCTAATCAAATCGTTCAAGTAATATTTTTTAAAAAATAAATAATATATGTAATCATAGCTCCACTCACAAAAATAACTGTCACAAAAATAAAATAATAATAAATCACCGTAACGATAAATGACGACCAACTGGAATTATGCTTTTCCACCTTTTCTTTATACAACTCGCCAACCGATTTATCTATTTATTTATTTTTTAAATAAATAAAAACATTTATTATTATTATTATATATAATGTGGTGTCTTCTTCGTCCATAATCGAATTCACCAATCAGACGAGAAATTAGAGAGAAGAAAGAAACAAAAATGGGGAATTACGCTTCCTGCACATTGCCTGGTCCGGTGAGCAAAAGCTTCGTCAGAGCCACCAAGGTCATTTTACCCTCCGGCGAGGTGCGCCGCCTGCACGAGCCGACCAAGGCGGCGGAGCTCATGCTAGACTCGCCGACCTTCTTCCTCGTCGACGCCAGGTCGCTGCGGATCGGAAAAAGGTTCGCCGCCCTGAGCGCCGACGACGACCTCGAGATCGGCGCTGTCTACGTTTTCTTTCCGATGAAACGGCTCAACGCCGCCGCGACGGAGGCGGACGTCGCGGCGATCCTCACGGCGGCGGCCGCCAGGAGAGTCTCGCGAGTTCTGCCGGAAAACGAAGAGGAATTGGCTGCGCCGGAGATGGATTTGGATGATTTGTCGGCGCTGGAATTGAAGCACAGAGTGTCGACTTGCAGATCCAAGAAGCCGTTGCTGGAGACCATTGTAGAAGAACCTCTCAGCTTCAGATGATCATCGTCAGTAATCTAACGGTTCAGGATTAGCCACGTGTTTAGAATGCACTTTCGTGAAACTGGTGAAGTCAATTATTAATAATTTTCCTTTTTTTGTTAAGTTCGGATTTATTGGATGAAAGAAATTTATCGTGTCCGTGTAGTCTGAAGATTATATATATAAAAGATACAATGTGATTGAATATCATTCAAATAAATTTCTTTTATACACATCTAATTTTTTTTTTTTTTTTTCTAGATTATTTTATCATATTATGGGTTTATTTATATTTTTTGATTTGTACTCAGAATTCAGATTTTTTGGGCAAATATAAAGAGGGTCGGTCAAAAAAATTAGATATGCATCCTCAAAATATTCCAAAAAGTCTTTTGGGTATGATGTCTTGTATCGAACAAATTAGTGATGAAAAAGTTGATAAATTGTAATATGACAATAATGAAAGGAAACTTGAATTAGAGTGCTAGAAACATAAATAAAAATTTAAAGAAAGTATGAAATATAAAGAGAGAATTGATGAAAATAGAGAATAATCGAAATGTGAACAAAATAGAGAAAATTTGAAAAAATGATTTGTTTTTTTTTTTTTTTGTGTCTGTTCGGGGCTTTTGATTGCTCCCATTTAGTTTCTTGTTTTTTTTTCGTTAATTATCATCGGTATGTTTCATTTATTCTTCACATAACTTTCATAATTGATCCCTCAAATTATTCTTTTTATAATATTCACACATCCAATTTCCTTTTTTTTTCTCCGATTACCTTGAATTTGTTGGAAATTTTGATTGTTCGAAGCCTAATCCAACAATTTTATCGATAGATAAAATCAATTGACCAACTCTTTAGTCTGATCCATCGGATTGACCCAATCATCGCAAACCCTTTACCCAAACTCAAACTCAGGCCTAAGCCCAATTAGTCTAACCCAATTAGTATGTTAGTTTTGTTAGATTAGAATTTGGGAAATTTCTAAAAAGAAAAAAAAGAGAGAAAAAAATGGTTTTGTTAGCCCGGTTCATCGGATCGGCCAAATAATTTATTTGCATCTTCATTTTTTTTTTCTTTAAAAATATCCCCTAAATCCGCTCCAAAATCACAACTCTCGTATGATGATAACCCTTCCGGTGATTCCTCTCTAATTTTGAGGATTCTCCAATTCTTATACAAAGTCATTCAGCTATCCTAATTTTGGGCACACCTCATTTTCTTTCTACCTACAAGTCTTTCCCTCTTTGTTGGGAACAATTCATGGTTAAAACGCCTTGAAAGCTATAAATAGAGATGAGAAGAAAAATTAGTCGAAAATGGATGTTTAACCATACTCCGAGCCAGTCCAACTGTCTTGTAGTAGTCTCACCACGCAAAGCAACCTCGAAACTCTCAAAATAGGTTTGGTAGCTGATCTTTACCTTTTCGGATCACTAAGGCACTAATTCTTGTCATTATAGGATGAATTTCATATGTCATATTAATTTACTCTAAAGGATTTTGTGCTTCAAGAGGAGAGATTGTCCTTTGGATTGAAATGTTGGATTATCTTCAAAAAAATCCATGCCATAAAATTTAGAGGCCGTAGGAATAATTGAACGACTGTGGATTTGTTGGAACATTATTTACTGACTCATTACAAACACTTTTACTTTCTCCAACTACCCCCATTACAAAATCTTGACTTGTAGTCTTTTCATCAACATATGAGATCCTTAGTTCCAACTAAAAAAAAAATCATGAGGACAACAAAAAAAAAGAAAAAAAAAAGATGGTTACTTCTCTTGCAATGTCACTCAAGGAATGTCGCCGACTCAATTAAAGATTTGATGGATTGATGGTAGAATCTCGACGAGCTTGTTTCTAATAAACATCATTTGTACTACTTCTCTTTTTGGTGGAATTTTTTGCCTGCTTTGAGGAATCAATATTGAAAATATTTGAATTTTCTTTCTTATTTTCGGGAACACCTGGGATAAGCAATGACATCTTTCAAGCTTTATCCAATGACTTGGTTTGATCGGCAGTTTTTTGTACCGGCAGAATATACTCATCAGGGAAAGATCCACAAACTTGAGTCCACCACCTGTTGTAGACCTCGGAACAAATACTCCTTAGAGCCATAAGAATGCATGGATGTACAACTCGGTTGAATAATTCAAATAAGTCCTTTGTTGCCAATATTGATAACTTTCCTCAAAAGTGCAATAACGGTTTTTTTTTTTTCAAAAGAATACTATGAATCTCTTGGAAAAAACCAATTTGAAAACATAAACAGTGGGGACAATACGGCTTCAAAAAACATCAAAATTCATCCTACAAAGTCAGAAACTAAGAGCAAATAGAGATGAAATATTCTTGCTCGTAGTTTTATGTTTTCCGTCATCGAAAAACTGCACGTCGAAATCTTTAGTGTCCAAGGTGAAAGTTCATAGAAAGTAATTGTCATGAAAAATTTTCCAAAATGAAACATCCGCTCTATATGCACAAGCTCTTATGGCTCCAAAATATTTTACATCTTCGGACCGTGAATTTTCCTTCAAAACAACGAAGTGAGTCTAGAAATATTTACCAATCCATCTAGTCAAAAAATGGAGAGGAAATATTGTCTGAACTTTTTCGAAATTGGATAAATTTTCAATCATGTTTAGCACTTTTTAATTACTCTTAAAAATTGGGATGGACAAACTTACCGAAAATCACGACACTGGGATGTTCGTCATCTTGAATGTTGAAGGGCGTATTAAACCTATGTCTTCAAGCGAAAGTACAAAGATGCAGAGCCAACAAGCAAGTAGCGCTATGAGAAAAGTCTTTTCAAAGTATTCACGTATGAGTTTGAGAACGAGAATAACGAGTAGATTATTTTCCATGACGGATTTAAAGATGCTCGTCTTTGACAATCATTTTGCACAAAAAAGAAATCCAGTCGGTTGCGATGACTTCTCACCGACCTTTGTCACGGATGTGAAGAATATGGTAGGTCTACAATAGGTATCTGCACAAATAAGGGATAAGTTTTCTATCTTTTTTATTTTCGTATAGGTTCTTTGCGCTTGGAATCACCTCGTCATATGAAGAGCCAAGTATGGGGATGCCTGCTAAAGATGCTAAATTGAAAAGAGAGATCAATACTTCAACGGAGACGATCAAGAGAGTATTGGTGCTTGGATACCATGCCTCACAAGCCCCTTTGATGAAATCCGAAAAATAGTCGTACAAAAATAAAAAAACATGAATTTTGTCATAAATGCATTATCACTTTAACAAACACTCGCATTGATCCAACACGTCCTCAACCCATTCCTAATAGCTAGCTATATATATGAGAAATTGCCATCAAAGAAGGGTAGACCATCTCAAATGCACACCCCCTGTATGCTTCAGCACCCCAAGTTCGGAAGGAAAAAAGTGTCATTTGACATATGTTGGTGGAGGGAAGATCGTAAAATATATTCTCCACCAGTGACGTCCCGGGACCACGTCTTCGGAACATTTGTAACCTCTAAGCGATGGTGAATAGATGCACATTCTATGAGAAATTGGTGGACCGATAAACAGGTTGCCTTGTCCAGTAGTGGGTTTCACACTCAAGAATCGCTAACTCGTCATTATCAGAGGAAAATGAGATATCTTTGAAAAAAAAACCATTTTACCTACACAAAAGAAAAACAAAGGTCAAGATGATAAACAAACAAAAATGGAAAAAGAAGCATAAGAAAAAGAGAAGAAACCTACGCAATAATATGGAGAAGTCAAGCTACGAAATTTTGAGAATAATAAAAAAAATCCTCCCATGATGAGAGGGTTTACATAATGTCCAAAATTTGAGCTATATGGAAAAAAATATATAAGGATGGGAAAAAAAATAAAAAATAAAAAAAGAAAGAAAGAAGGAAATAATAAAAGAAAAAATTGAAGAAAAAAAATAGAGAAATAAAAAAGGAAGAATAAAAAAGTAAGAAAAGCTTAAGATGCCCTTTCTATATTAATGAAGTAATTATGTTGCTTCTGTTTTGACAACTAAAACCATATAAGCTTTGTTTTCTGATTGCAGTAACTTCTGCAGAAGAAATTTGAAATTTGTGGGGAATGTTAGTTGAGTTGTTTGCGTAGAAGAACAAAAGGGCTACAAAGGTTGGCTGAATATGGAACTTTGTAATTGCATCGAGCCGTTGTGGCCGGCGGACGAGTTGCTGATGAAGTACCAGCACATATCGGATTTCTTCATTGTTTTGGCTTACTTATTGATCCCTTTGGAGTTAATTTACTTTGTAAGAAGTTTGTAGTTTTTTCTTATAAATGAGTTCTTGTTCAGTTGGTGCATTCATTGTCCTCTGTGGCGCAACCCATTTAATTAATTTATTGATATTTTCGATGCACACAAATATTGTTACAGTTGTCATGACTACTGCCAAGATTTTGATTGTCGTAGTATCTTGTGCAACAACTCTTATGCTGGTACATATTATTCTCGATTTATTAAGTGTAAAAATAAAGGAGTTTTCTTGAGAAATAAGGCTGCCGAGCTGGATAGAGAAGTAGAATTGAATTGTACACCAAAAGAGACTGGTAGGCATGTAAGAATGTTGACACATAAAATCAGGAGCACTCTCGATAGATGCACCATTCTAGAAACTACCCTTGTTGAACTCAGGAGAACGTTAAGCTTAGAAGAGTGTGTGTTCTAAATGCCAACAAGGACTGGATTGGAGCTGCAACTTTCCTACACTTTTGCCACCCAAATCTAGTTGAATTCACTGTACCTATACAATTTCCTGTAATCAATCAAGTTTTTTTTTTTTTTTTTTTTCCAGTACTAGCCATATGGTAAAATTTCTCCAAATACACTTGTTTCCCGACTTCGACCCACTGGAAAGTACATGCTAGGGGAGGTCATTGTTGTTCGTGTGCCGCTTCTGCATCTCTCTAATTTTCAGATTTTGATTGGCCCAAACTCTCAACTAAATATTATGCATTTATGGTTTTGATACTCCCTTCAGACAATACAAGAT